CCGATGCGGGGCTCGATCCCAGGACCCTGGGATCATGACCTGAGCCGAAGGCAGACGCTTAACGACTGAGCCACCCAGGCGCCCCTGGAATGCTTTTAAAAAGGGAAAATAAGCAGGTCCTTCAGTAACGTGGTCTTCGGCATCAGCACCCGCTGCCTGGAGCCTGGGGCCGCAGAAACGGGCCTTTCCCCTTATAGAGAAGAAAGCAGTCCCCATGTGTCTCACTTGATCATAGTGTGGCCTCAGATTTCTCCTCCTCTAATTGTGGTCTCTCTATAAAAAAGCAAGATTCGGTATTGCTGAATTTGCACTTGTTTTTGTGTGAAAGGCCTGCTTCAAAGTATGTTACCCATGGAACCCATGGAAAGGTGACTCCGTGTCGCCCTCACGAATTTGGGCTGTGCTGCTTTCCAAATAGGTATGGGACTTACGCTTTAGTATATGATTTCAGTTCTGTGAGATGTTTTGGGATCTGTACCAATTAAACTGATAGTTTTCCTTCTGTCTTTGTGTATGGACCCACTGCTGCCTTGTTGTAGTCACAGAGCATGACCATGACCGTCATCTCTTGCTTGCCTGAAATCTTGCTGAAGGTGTTCGCATTTCCTTTGTGTTTTGCTGTTCGGGCATGGGTGGGATGTCTGCTGGCTCTATTCTGCTTATTCACCAATTTGTACATTATCTGTTGTCCTTTGCTGCTGTAAATGGTAAATATAGTTTTGTATTCCGTAAAAAAAAAATTGTGCTAAAATTTTTCACAGAGCTAGTACAAACAATCCTAAAATTTGTATGGAACCACGAAAGACCCTAAATAGCTAAAGCAATCCTGAAAAAGAAAAGTATAACTGGAGGCATCACAATTCTCGACTTCAAGTTATATTACAAAGCTGTAGCAATTAAGACAGTATGGTACTGGCACAAAAACAGACTCATAGATCAGTGGGAACAGAATAGAAAACCCAGAAATGAACCCATAACTGTATGATCAACTAATCTTTGACAAAGCAGGAAAGCCTATCCAATGGAAAAAAGACAGTCTCTTCAGCAAATGGTTTTGGGAAAACTGACAGCAACATGCAAAAGAATGAAACTAGACCACTTTCTTATACCATACACAAAAATAAATTCAAAATGGATGAAATACCTAAATGTGAGACAGGAAACCATTAGAATCCTAAAGGAGAACAGAGGCAGTAACCTCTTTGACATAGGCTGTAGCAGCTTCTTTCTAGATATGTCTCCTGAGGAAAGGGAGACAAAAGCAAAAATAAACTATTGGTACTTCAAGATAAAAAGCTTGTATACAGCAAAGGAAATAATCAACAAAACTAAAAGGCAACCTATAGAATGGGAGAAGATATTTGCAACTGACATATCTGATAAAGGATTAGTATCTAAAATCTATAAAGGACTTTTCAAACTCAAAACCAAAAAAACAAATAATCCAGTTCAGAAGTGGGCAGAAGACATGAACAGACATTTCTCCAAAGAAGACATACAGATGGCTAACAGACACATGTAAAGATGCTCAACATCACTTATCAGGGAAATACAAATCAAAACTATAATGAGACATCACCTCACATCTGTTAGAATCGCTGAAATTAACACAGGAAGCAACAGGTGTTGGCGAGAATGCAGAGAAAGGGGAAACTTATACTGTTGGTGGGAATGCAAACTGGTACAGCCAGTCTGTACCGAAGGGACACATGCACCCCTATGTTTATAGAAGCATTATCAACAATAGCCTAATTATGGAAAGAGCCCAACTGTCCACTGACTGAAGAAGGGATAAAGAAGATGTGGTGTATATATACACAATGGAATATTACTCAGCCATCGAAAGAATGAAATCTTGCTATTTGTAATGATGTGGATGGAGCTAGAGGGTATTATGATAAGCAAAATAAGTCCGAGAAAGACAAATACCATATGATTTCATTCATATGTGGAATTTAGGAAACAAAACAGATGAACATGGGGGGGGAGGTGGAAAGGAGAGTCAAGCCAGAAAACAGACTCTTAACTATAGGGAACAAACTGAGGGTTACTGGAGGGGAGGAGGACAGGCGATGGGTTAAATGCGTGATTGGTATTAAGGAGGGCACTTGTGCAGGACACCTCAGTGGCTCAGTCATTGTCTGCCTTCGGCTCAGGTCATGATCCCAGGGTCCTGGGATCGAGTCCCACATCGGGCTCCTTGCTCGCCGGGGAGCCTGCTTCTCCCTCTCCCACCCCCCCTGCTTGTGTTCCCTCTCTCGCTGTGTCTCTCTCTGTCAAATAAATAAATAAAATCTTAAAAAAAAAAAAAGGAGGGCATTTGTGATAAGCCCAGGGTGTTGTATGTGTAAGTGATGAATCATTAAATTCCACACCTGAAACTAATATTATACTGTAAATTAACCGGAATTTAAATAAAAACTTGAAAAAATTGTGCTAAATATATATATAACATAAAATTTACCATCTTAACCATTTTTTAAGTGTCCAGTTCAGAAGTGTTGAACTATATATTCACATTGTTGTGTAACATCTCCAGAGCTTTTCTCATCTTGCAAAACTGAACTCTACAACATTTAATAAACTCCCTGTTTCTCCTCCTCCTAGCCCCTGGTACCTGTCCTTCTACTTTTTGTTTCTATGAATTTGACTACTTCAGATACCTCATATAAGTGGAAGCACAGAATTTGTCCTTTTGTGACTTATTTCACTTAGCATAATGCCCTCAAGTTTCATTCATGTTGTAACATGTGACAAGATTTCTTTTACTTTTTCTTTAAATTTTTTATTGTTATGTTAATCACCATACATTACATCATTAGTTTTTGATGTAGTGTTCCATGATTCACCGCTTGTGCATAACACCCAGTGCTCCATGCAGAACGTGCCCTCCCCAATACTCATCACCAGGCTAACCCATCCCCCCACTCCCCTCCCCTCTAGAACCCTCAGTTTGTTCTTCAGAGTCCATCGTCTCTCATGGTTCGTCTCCCCCTCTGATTTACTCCCCTTCATTCTTCCCCTCCTACTACCTTCTTTTTTTTTCTTAACATATATTGCATTATTTGTTTCAGAGGTACAGATCTGTGATTCAACAGTCTTGCACAAT